TATAGAATAAAAGACCTCAAAGAAGATCAAAACATCTCGCAGCAAGATTAAATTGAAGCCGTAACAATGCCACGAGAGGACGATGTTGCTAATACGAATATAGGTTCCACATCGGCACCTGCTCTGGATGACGAAGAAGGTTCCAAATCACCGTCCGCTGACGCAACACAAGTCTCAATTATGGAAGATGGTAAGGGATCATCGTTGGATGAAGAGCAAGATGTTGAGGCAAATAAAACGCGAGCCAATGCACCAGTGATGACCGCAGTCGATGAGCCACCAAACAAGATCTTCCTGACCTCGTTGGCAGTTGTGTTTATCATCGCTGGATCGCTGAATACAATCGCAGCAAAGTGGGTCTTATTCTATCATCAATCCTCTCATTAATATCATTATTGCTCAGAATCGCTCTCATTGGTACTATAAGTACAGAAAGACAGAATTTTATCACTACTGTTGTTGAGAATCTTAAGTGAAATTCTCTTAGATACCCCAATGCAATTTTATTGTTATTTAGGTAGTTTAGTGTGGTGTTGTGATGATTTCATTAATGACTTGTTACTCATTTACGATCATGAATGAAAATCGAAATGCACACTGTTTTTAAGATGAATTTTGAGTTTTCTGTCCACAGCACTCACAATACGTGCTTGTCAGCAAATTGTTCTCGGTTTTCAGATGGGCGGATACAACCCCGATCCATTGGTTTCAAGATTGTTATGATGGTCATTGCTATCATTATATTAATCATGCGGAATATTTTATCCATCCATTCTTCCAGGTAATCGAGTTCATATTTCGTGGCAATGATGCATTGCATTTGCGTTATATGTTGAATGTATTATTGGCCAAACGCAAGCATATTTTTAAGAAGTATTAACTCAGTTTTTTTATCGTTGCATCACCTCACTATCACTCGTCAACGTTTGACGTAATGATGTGCATCCACTGCATGCAATTAATCTATCGCGTGAGCGCTATTTCAGGCTGACGTAATGTTCGTTGGTGAAGTGTGTTGTATGCTTGCCTATTTGGTCAGTCTGATGATTCAACGGTATCGGTGGAGAAGGCGAAGGGCCAACCATGTTTGCACGGCGGGATGCGAGGTGTGCAACTCGGAATGCCCCACAATACCACGCTTCAACTGGTTTCTGTTTGCGATTCCAGCGTTTTTTGATGTTGTCGCCACATCGATGCAGTACATCGGATTATTGGTGACCAGCGTTGTTTCCTATCAAATGTTAAGAGGTTAGGGCACTGTTGCTGTTTTGCT